TGAGAAAAGGCCTAAGAACTTCAGCACTGTGCAAGAAATTCAACCCAAGAAATCTCACTCATTTTCTCAAATGGCCTTATTACCTCAGGCTACAAAGGCAAAGTGCCATCCTCTATAAGCAGCTCAAAGTGCTTCCTGCCATTAAGCAGTTTACCTAGGCCCTGAACCAGCAAACAGCTACCCAGCTGCATAAGCTTGCCCATAGTACATGCCAGAGACAAAGCAGGAGAAGCAAAGGGTGCTGGCCCATCCTGAGAAGAAAGCTGCTGGGAAAGAAAATGTCCCAACTAAGGGATCACCTGTCCTTTGAGCTTCGTCAAAACAGTTACCAACTGGTGGAGAACAATAAGGCTTAGCTGGTGGTGACCTGCTTGCCCTATGTTACAAGATGGGGGACCTCTACAGCATCATCAAGGGGAAGACAAAGCTGGGATAGCTAGTCCAAAGGAAGACAATAGTCCAAAGGAAGACATGCACTTCTGTTGACTTCTCACGTGTTAACTCAGAAGACAAAGGTGCTTTGGATAAGCTGGTGGAAGCTATTATGTCCAATGACAAGGACAGATAAGATGAGAACCACTGCAAATGGGGAGGCAAAGTCCTGGGACCTAAATTTTAGTTCTAAATCCATGGCTCCTACTATAAAGCTAAAAAAGGAATACAAAGGTCAAAGAATTAGCCACTAAACTGAGTTAAATATATACTGCTAAGTTTTCTGCACAAAAATACAATTTTAAAACTATCCTTTAAACAACTAAAAAGAGGACCTAGACCCCTGCTCAGAGGTAGACGATAGGCAGCTCAGTCTGTATGTGGATTACTGAGTAACAGCAAGGGCTGCCTCTACCATGAACTCAGTTGCCTGCTCTTTGATCACCTCCCCTAGCGATACAGGTCACAGAGGAAGAGGATCCGGGCAGGCCTGATGAGACTTGATAAGCTAAGGGTCAGAGCGCAGGGGAGGAGAATTCCCAGTTTCAGCGGACTAGAGGAAGGGGATGGGAGAAAGAAGGAGAGAGGGTGAGACCAGGAGGAGGAACCAGGAGGAGATGAGAAAGGGGGCTAAAATTGAGATATAAAATGAATAAATTATAAAAAAATAAAGAAAATTTTGAAAAATGTGATAAAAAAACCTAAAAACAAATCTAGTTGTTATGTTCTCAATAAGCAGGCTGCAGTTCCCCTAACCACAAGGGTTAAGTATACAAGAAGATATTAGGGAAGAGAGAAGGAGCTCCTTGGGAAGGGGAAATAATATAGAAAGTCATGGAAGAGCAGTGTGTTTTGTGCTCAGGGTGGAACAAGATAATTAAATGGGAAGGGGAATGAGAGGATCGTAAGTGAGGGAATGTGAGGGATGGATGGCTAAAAGTCATTTGAGGGGTCATATGAAAACCCACTACAATAAATGAATAAAGTAGGAGACAAAGCCCCAACTAGACATCCCTCCGTACCAAATAAAACCTCCAGTGCCAGAAATGGATTATATCTAATTGAATTGTTGGCTAAAGGAACCCCATGAAACGTCCCTTCCCCCCGCCCCAAATCCCAGGCTAGTGCCAAGGCTATTAGTTGCTCTCTACAAACTTACTGTAAGGCTCTATTGCTAAAGACAACAGTTAGATAACTCATGGAACAAGCTGGTACCGACCTAGAGACTTCAATCCTACTGACTAGCAATTATGGTACTGAAAAGTACTCTGCATGCAACAATAGGAACAAGGTAAACTCCAATCCAGCTATAAACCCTGCGATCTACAATGGTGACCTGCCTGCAGGATACACTGGTAGAGTAGTGGTACAAAATTTGTGGAAATAACTAACCACTTGTAGATTGGATTTAAGGCCCAGTCTGTGAGACGGAATCCTTATCCAACCCTGCCTGGGGTTGGTGAGGTGGCAAGAACTTGAGACTTGATAGGCCAGGAACACAGTGGAATTCCAAATACTATGTTCAGCTAAATGAACCCATCAATAAAATGACTTCTAATGACATTCTGATATACTCATAAATTGGTGATTCAATAATCCATCATCAGAGAAGTTTCTTCTTTCAGGAAGTAGATAAGGACAAATACAGAGACCCACAACTGGGCAATGTTCATAAAGTGAGAGACCTTTGAAAACATAGCCCTACATGGGATGTCTTCATCAAATCTCTCCACTCAAGGTTCAAAGAACCCTGTGGAAGGGGAAGCAGAAAAATTATAAGAGCCAGAGGGTATGAATATACTAAGGAAACAAGGCCTTCCAGACACAACAGAACTGATGGAGCACATATGAACTAACAGAGACTATGACAGCATGCATAAGGCCTGTACAGAATCAAGCCAGACTAGGTCCCAGCACTGAGAGGGTGTGAAAAGTAGATATGATTTCCCATCCCTAACCAAGAAGATATCTTTAATTGAAAAAACTTGAAAAGGAAAAATTTGCTTGCCTCAGTGGAGTCTCACTGGGTATATAAAACACTTAAGGGTAGGTCTTCTGCCTAATAGTAGATGGCCAATAGAAGTTATTTCTGTAATTTTTTTGTCTCATATTGCTTTATTTGGGCATTTCTTTTACTTATATATTATAGTCTGATTTTTCTTATTGGTAGCATGTGTATAAGTTTTTGTGCTAATCTTTTTAATTACCATGTTTTTTTTTTTTAATTTGCCTGTTTGTTTTCTAAAGAGTGTGAAAAAGCATGTGTGGAAGTGGATGGATGGATGGATGGATGGATGGGAAGAACTGGTAGCTGGGAAACCATGATCAGAATATATTACATAAACATCATTTTTCATCAACGAAATAAATAAAAAAATGGGAACCCTAAAATACAGGGCCCTCAGAAGAAACAAAAATGGCTAAGTAATATATTTTTTTTTAATGTTCAACATCCTTAGCTATCACAGAAATGCAAATTAAAACTACTTTGAGATTTCATCTTACTGCAGTCAAAAGATGAAGAAAAAACAAAAGCAACAACAAAACACATAACATCAGATAATGCTATTAATTACTGGTAAGGATGCAAACTAGTATAGCCACTATGGAAATAAGCGTGGAGGTTCTTCAAAAAGCTAGCAATAGATATATCATATATTTCAGCCTTTCTACTCTTGGGTATACTCCCAAAGGATCTATATCTGACTGAGATACTTGCTCATCCATGTTCATTGCTACTCTATTGACAATGGCAAGTAAATAGAAATACCCTAAGCACCCATCAACTAATAAATACATAATGAAAATATCTAATACTCTTCATCTGTAAGGAATAATAAAATTATGAAGTTACAGGTAAATGGATAAAGCTGGAAATAATTATTCAGATGGAGGCAGCCCATACCCAGAAAGATAAAAGCCACATTTTCTATCTCATATATGGATGATATCTTTAAAATTTTGAATACATTTGTTTCTACCAGAGTACACACAGGAGTTAAGAAACTTGGAGGAGGAGGACAATGGAGGGGCTTTCAAAAGAAGGATGATAAAACGTAGGAGGTACGAAAGATAATGAACAATGGAGCAAGAAGGATAGGTTAGGGTGGTAGATAGGAGGGCAAGGTACAGGAGGGAGTACGGGGTAAGGAACACAAAAGACCTTTGGTGTGCTGCCTAGATTTATGCCAATTTGGCATATGTACATACGGGCATTACCAAATAGACTTGGTGGGCTTAAAGTGAAAGCTCAAGAAACTGAGAGAGAATAGTGGAAGGGATAGAGGAGGAATTTACAGGAAGGAATGGGAGTGAATTTAACCAAAACACATCATATGTTTGTATGGAATTCTCAAACAAGAAAAAAAACTTAAAAAAAAAACATGTAAATACACATGTACAAAACCTAACTAACATAACATACTTGAAAAAGGGAGTATTCACAATCACCATGTTATTGAATCAGGTTAGTATCCACCAACAGATGAAAAAGGAAAATTGTCACTTTACACACATGTACACACACAATGGAGTTTATTTAGCCACCAAATGGAGAATTAAATTTTGTTTGCAGGAAAATGGATAAAATTGAGGAGAATAATAGTAAGTGAAGTTAAGTCAGATGCAGAGTAAGGCTATTTTCTCTCATTCATAGATCCACAAATTTATACAGATACACAAATTCAAATATGCATATAGTGCATGAAAGTAGAAGTAAGAGTTCTGAGGGTAATGAACAGAGTTGGGGTCAATAAAAAGACCTATTGGACTAGTGTGGCATGAATATTGTCAAAATACATGATATGCCTATTTGAAAATGTCTGTGAAACCAATCATAATGAATATATACTAATAAAAACTGTTTTACTATGCCTGATTTTTTGTGCAAATAGGGCTATTTTATGTCAAACAACTAATTTCATTACAAAGAACTGGAATTCTAGTATATTCTAAGCACAAATCCCAATATAACAGATTACCAATAAAACCTTCAGAATTCTATGTCCAGAGCTTCTTTGTTAGGCAATATTTCACATCTGTTCTGACTTGCTGGAGAAATTAAGCTTTTCCCAATGTGACTCCACTGAAAAAGGACTCATGGAAGTGTGAACCTACATCTCACAGACTGCCCCACGTAGTGATTTTCTTTGCTGAGTCTGCTTTGAAACCTTTTACTATATCCCTGAAGAAAACTACCTATTGTGTCCTTTGATTCCGGCTAGTAAATACCAAAGCAGAATATGCATTAATTATATAGAATGTTTAGAAAACCTTAGAAAATACAGGCATTAAAATCAGCCCAAACCTAAATATTATTTTATTTATAGGCTACTCAATAGAATGAAATCACCTAAGGATAGGTTTTATTTGCAAGTAACTCAGAAATTACACAATTTTGTAGGTATCTTTACACATATAAATAACAAAAACATTTAAGTAAAGAAGGCATTATCAAGTATGTACAATAATGATTTGTCTAAAGAGAAAATGCATAATTAACTACTCTTCTATATTTATTGGTACTTATTTTGTGAATTAGAAAAGTAATAATATTAAAAGTAGTCTACCTTTTTTATCTTGGCCTTTTCAGCTTTTTCTTCCTTATCACACCTCTTGGCATTCCTATTAAGTTCTTTTGCAGCAAACTTCATGTTAAATAAGTGTTCTGAAAATATAGGTTAAGGCTAGCTAGTCAAAGTCATCTGTCCAGCATAAAGATCTGCCAACTTGATGTTAAAATAATTAAAAAATGATCAGCTAATATAATTTATGCCAACTAATCAGAATATCTCTGAGGAAAGAGAACAGACTATTTCTTTTAAACTTTCACCCATAATCAAGTTAGTAGAAGGTATAATATTAATTGCAAAAGAAGAATGAATACTCTGAAGAAACGGGGTTTTAGTTGAGTTTAACAGTAGTAATATTCCTTATTTCTGCAATGATGCTTTGAGAATAAAACATTATTAATGTCATGACATTGTTGCTAAGAAACAATAACATTTGTTATAAATGAGCACTAAAAATCATCAAGTGTCAAATTCACCAAGAGCAAGAAACAGTTGAATAACTGGCACAGTGACTGACATTACTGGAAGGCTCTGAAAAACTAACAATAGTTCTTATTGAGGGAAGCCAAAACAAAAATCTGGAAGGCAGAACTGAAGGAAATAGAGACCATCTCATCAAAGAACACTGTTTACTAGCTTGTTCTCCATGGCTTTCCCAGATTGTTTTCTTATACCACTTAGGGCTACCTGCTCAGGGGTGGCAATGCAAACAGTGGGCTGGGTCCTCCCACATCAATTATTAATCAACAAAATGCCTCAGAAACCTGCCTACAGATGTTCTTTCTTTCCAGATGACTAGCCTGTGTCAAGTTGACAGAAAGAAAAAAAAAGTTTCATTCCCAGGACACACTTTGAAAAGCCGAATGTGGGGCTGGTGAGATGGCTCTGAACACTGTCTGCTCTTCCAGAGTTCCCGAGTTCAATTCTGAGCAACCACATGGTAGCTAACAACCATCTATAGAGCAATCTAATGCCCTCTTCTGGCATGCAGGTATACATGCAGATAGAGCATTCACATACATTAATAAAGAAATTTAATAAAAATTATATGATTCTTAAAAAAAAAAAGCTGAGTGCGGTAGAATACATTTATAATCCCAGAACACTTATTGAAAGATGGGAAGACTAGAGTCCAGAAGTTCTTGGGCCACCTATTCTGAAATACACAGTGCAACAGTAAGAAAGATCTTGCCTTTACAATGTAGATGGAAGGAAGTGACTCTCAAACACTGACTTCTGACCTCTCTATCTGTACTATAGTGCAGACACAAATAATAAATGGAAAACAAATAAAACCCAACAAAAAGAAACAATTTTAAAATCATGATGGGGGCAGAGTGATGGCTCACCAGTTAAGAACTACTTGTTCTTGCAGCGAATTTGTGTTTGACTCACAGCACCCAGAGTGCCTCACAGCTGCCTGTAACTCCTACTCCAGGAGACCTGATAACTTCTGCCCTACACAGGAACCAGGTATGTACAAGGCAAACAGACATACTTGCAAGGCAAAACATTCATACCATAAAAGGAAATTAAAATGTAAGTTAAAAATATCATGATGGATTAAAAATAATATACATGTATTTAATGCATAGACATAAACCATGCAAAACACACATAAACATAAAATAAAGTGAAAGAATCAATTAATGGTTTGTCAAATGAAATATGTCAGATTAAGATGAACATTAACATACATTCTGTCCTATGTTGATTGTAGATATATATGTATATGAGGTAATATATACACAAATACACACGGATACATATTACATGAAAGGCTAAAAGGAACTAATTATGGGGAGAAAGGGAACTAAATAGGAGATTTTTAAAAAAATAAATATTGTATATTTTCACTCATGTATATAATCTAGTTTTAAGCATATAAAAAGAATACATGAAAATAGAAGGGGAATATTCAAAGGAGGAAAGGAAGCAAGCCAGGAGGAGTAAGGAGAAAAAAAAATGCTACTGGAAAAGCATATTAACAATGTAGTATGATATACATGTTTTAATATGATAGAATTAAATGCATTATTTTGTAAACTAACCAAATGTAAAAACAAAAATAAAAACAACAACAACAAAACAACCCCCAAACTTTTAAAAGAATGCATGGAGAATAAGAGATGACCTTGCCCCCAATAGTCATAATAGACATAAGAAAACTTATTCTTTGGGCCATAAACTGAAATAAATATCAAAAAAAATCTGTCATCTGAACACAACTCAGTAGTTAACATATTTGTTTTCTTCATGCTTTTCTAGAAGAAACTAATGCTAAGATAAAAAGAATTAAGAATCTGTGTTTGAAATCTTAAAAAGTTTTCTATGTATAATCAAGGAGAAAAATGAGGAAAACTGTCTTCTATATTTAGTATTTAGTGACAATGAAATGACTGAAATGTAACTTTTAAATATAGTTAACTGGGAGTTTCTAGCCTTATAGTCTCACATTACAGAGAAAGACTGAAAATTAATGATGCAAACATTTACAACATAAAAGAGGAAAAGGCTATATGCTCCTAAAGGCCATAAAAAGGCAAAAAGAAAAAAAAATAAGTGGGTGAAATGATAACAGAAACCCAAAATAGAGTAGACAAGGTGATCAAAATGTCCAAAACTGAGTTCTTTATAAAACCTGACATGCTACTGTTGAAAGAGCAAAAAGTGGCATAACTAGAATGAGAAAAAGAATATGACTATAAAGATACTTTAAAATACTAAATTATGTCATTAACCCAAAATACTTGGAAGCCTTGGGTAAAATGTATAGTACTAGATCAATAATAGAAATAAACTTTAAAAAGTCTGAATAATTCAGATTTCTGTTGCAACACTTTACAATATTTTAACATTTAAATGAAGCTACAAGAGCAGACTTAAAAGTATTACTAGTGAATTTTGTCAAATATTTAAGAAAATGGCACCTCTTACCATACACAAACTCTCTGAAGTATTTGGAAAAAGGAAAAACACCTTTTCATTTGGAAACTAGACTTTAATTAAAGGCTACATTCACTCATTAGCAAAGATGCAAAAATATTAAACAATATTGGCAATCATTACAGACAGACTATATATTATAGATGCCTCATAATCATAATGAGTTTGTCTTAGAAATCCAAAGATAGTTTAACATTTTCAAAAACTAAAACTATCCATGCACTTTAATAACATACAAGTATTAAGAAAAACATGTAACATTCGGTGTATACAGAGGGCAATGAAGACCCAACATTCAGCTGATAATCAAATCAACTCTGAGATGAACTACTCATAATGAAATTCTAAAAAAAAAAAAAGTGCACCTAACCAAAAATCTATTACAAACATCATACTATTTATGAATAGTTAGAAATCCTCTTAAAATCAGGGATAAGAAAGTGACCTTGCTCTAATTTCTCTTAATGTATAACACCTTTCTGGAGTACTTGTATATATACAACAAAAAGGAATAAAAAGTACTCATTACAAAAGAAATAATCAAACTAACACTTTTCAGATAATATAAATATTTAAATGCATATATTCTCCAATACAACAACCTTATTCTTAGTCACATATCACCCAATTTTTCCCAATGTACACAGAACATATATTAAAAAATTATCATACTGGTATTTCTTATAATGATAGGGAAGCTAATCTCAATCCCATCACTAAAAGAATGAAAAAGTAAATTGTGGTATATAATACACTGAAAAACTACATAAGAATGAAAATGTGTTTTTAAACACTTAATGAATTATAACTAATATATTTTTAAAATAGTAATGATACTGCATATATACTATTTAAAAACATGAAATATATCAATATACTTTAAGAGTGTACAAGTTTTATGTAATATATAAAGAAATATACTAAAGTCATAATTGTCAACTTTTAGATAGTGGCAGCTGTAGAAAAGAAGAATTTAATTGATGATGTTTTATAGTATTTTCTAAGCCAAATAGAAGGCTCTTGGGAATGTTTTTTTTTCTTTCTTTTTCTTAACTTTCTTAAGAGGGAAGAATTAAAATTATAGGAGTTAAAAAGAATTTACAGAAGTTAGTGTTTGTTTAGCATAGAGTATGGATTTCATAAATTATAGCATCATTTACTAAGTCACCTATTTTAATTGAGAAATTTATATCAGAAGTTTTTGTCTTTAAAACATACTTAAAACTACTATGTGTTATTATATAATAGTTTTCTGTATTATAACATGCCAAAAAATTAGGATTCATAAAAGTCACTGTATATAAAGAAAGAAGTCTTAGTTTAAAATAGAATTCATCCACTTACTACAAAAAATTGTGGCAATATATTCTTTAAACTGTTAGCAAGTCCTATAAATACAACAGTTCAAAGGCTATTGTAGTACAAATGCCACCAGCCAGATTATATAATTCTCTTGATGACAAAAGTGGAATGGAAAAATATACTGGCAAGAGAAAGAAAACAAAAGAGTTTCAGAGAGAAGGCTGGACACTCTAAAGTGATGGCTCAGTGATTACTAGCATTTGCTGCTCCTGCAGAGGACCAGAGCTCAGTTCCCAGCACCTATATCATTTAGCTCACAATAATCTCTTACTCCAGTTCCAGGAAATCTGACATTCCTTTGGTCTCTGTGAATACCCGCACTCATGTTCATATACTCTGATACAAGTACACACACATTCAAGTAATTACAAATAAATACTTTTTAAAGTGCTCCACTAACAGCAATTCTAGCATAAGACAGTGGTACCAATACCACAGACTATGTATTTGATAAGTGGCATTATGCTTTCCATTTTCTGGCTTTTTAAGTTACCAGCACTTTGATTACTATTGTGTGTTTTTTAGGGAGGCAAATTTGGGATCAAAGAATCAAGTGAGACCATCTGAACTAAAAGCAACTTTAAAGATAATTTTATTTGAAACATAAACCTATTGATTAGTGGTTTTCAACCTTCCTAATGCTACAACCCTTTAATGTAGTTGTTCATGTTGTAGTGACACACCAACTGTAACATTATTTTCATTGCTACTCCATATTTGCAATTTTGTTACTTTTATTGCTCTATTGTTAGAGGCCTCTAACAGACAATCAGGGTATCTAATATGTGATCCCTGTCAAAGTGTCCTTTGACACCTCAAAGGGTTCTCAACACACAGGCTAAGAACAGCTGCTATAATAGTTGGATAAGCATGGAATAAGGAATAGAGAAAGAGATACTCAAATGCATTTTAACTGTTACAGGGAATTTCTCAGAATGTATCTTTAAATTGTATTGAAAGGAGGACCCAAATAAAGCATTAACAGCATTCTGTTGATTCTAAAAGCTATAAATTACATATACATTGGCAGAGAACCAATTTAATGGCCAAATTTGAAGTACTGTAAATACTGAAACTAATTCTGGTAAAGAGGTTACACTTCCATTGGCATTCAGTAAGGCTGACTTAACTGATTAGAATTTCCATGACTCTGGAGGGCTTGGAATTTTGCAGGTCAGGGGTCTAATTTACAATTTGCCTTGAGCTATCTTTAGTCCCCTTAACAGCCATTCCTTGATCACCTCTGTCTGGCCTAACACCCAGTGACTAAAAGATAAAACCTTCTGAAATGTATCACAGAGCAGCAGCTTCCACCAACCAAAAAGCTAAGAGTATTCTCAGACATGAGGCCCATAGCTGAGATTTTCCCTCTTTGCTATAAAAGCCACCTATCTGATGTCTCCACTCATGTATTATAAAACAGCCTTTATTTATGACTTTCTTCTGTTACAATAAAAATATCAGTGAACTATCACCATGTTGTAACATGGAGTTTGGAGAACCAGAATCTATGTTCCTAGGCCATGGTTAATTATATTTGGCTTCAGAATTAACTATGTTACCCCCTTTGAAGTGAGAACAGTTGTTTATGATGACAGTGCCTTGATAAAAACACATAAATGCTGGCAAGTCTGATACTGATATCTAACTTGTTTTGCTTTAGGACTTCAGGTGGGTGACTCATGTGATCTGCAATGACTAACAGCTAATTTCAAGGAGCTAGCTATCTCTTTGTATAAATACAGCCCCAGGTGATACCAGTCCAGAATTCCCTTTTTGAACTCAGAGCATGTCCAGTACTTATTATCTACTTCATTGGTCTGTAACCGCCTTCAAGTTAGAATGCCTATTAAAAAATCATAGCTACAGAAAATAGCCCCAGAACAATGCACAAAGTAATAGTCAAAACTGTGCATACAATTTTAAAACATTTAGTAAGTCCACACATCAGCATTCATCTGAATTAGTAGGAGTTACCTTGCAATGGTATTCATCTTTATCCTCATGTACGTGTGACCTCTGACCCGTAGATCAGAAGTTGCTCAGAGACAGTAGTATTCTTAACTTCATATATCCACTACATAGTTATATGACTTAGTCTATAATAAAGACTCAAATTCAAGTACATTAACAATTAACTATTAACAGAAAGTCATTTGCTCATTTTGTCTCTCCTATGCCTCCAGTGCTGTGTATGAAAATAAGCATTTTAAGATAAATGTCCCCATTCTCCAGGAATTCAGTCTAATGAAAGAGAGATAGGTAAACATGCTTCCAAGGGTGGAGCTGCTTAAATAAAAGGTAAAATGATGAGGAAAGGAACAGGAATAACTGGTAGAAAACACTCATCTTAACATCCTCAGGTGTTGGAAGGACATCAGTTTAGACTAGGAAAACAGAAAGCTTCCAGTAAATGAATTGCACTCAAATTAAATCCAATAGTATGATGACTTACAAGTGGGGTGATAAGAAGGGAGGAAAGATAGCACATACTACTGGAGTAGCCCTTATTTATTTACCTACTAATTTTTCATTCCTGTAACTCAGCACTAAAATCTATATAAAGTCACAGTAATTCAACCCAGCTTCAATTAAATTTTTAAAATGAGTTACACCATTGTACAAATAGTAGATGAGCATACTTATCCAAAGACAGGACAAAAAGTTATAAGGCTGAATTGTTCTATCACAGCCAATCTTCCCATACACTATGATGAGATTTTTACATTTTATAAACGGATATATTCTTCAAATTTTACTTCAGGTTATTTATGGAAGGTAGCCTGAGTCCCAATTATTTTCTGCCTCTAAACTGGGGGGGGGGGGGGGGGGGCTGGTTTATACATAAATGAACCAAAATGAGTAATCAAATGATTTGGATAGTTACACCTGACCATAACTTCATATAATAGATTGAAGGGCAGTTCATTTTTACTAGGTACAGGTTATTTATATTGAGGGTTCTTCTGAGGAGTATTATACAATACAGTTTTCTGGACCTGACTTAGCTACTGTACACAAGAACACACAGAAGTTGTAGTTACCTCTACAATACAGGTTCAAGCCCATTAAAGTCCCAGCACTAGTGGGAGAGGGGCTACTGGGGCCCCACCTCTAGCTGGCATTTGAAGTACTGGCACTTGAAGCTGTTGGAGTTGGGAGAATCACTTTCCTCAGGTGGTGACTACTGGAAGTTTGCCCATGCCTCAGTGGATGACCCCACACCCATGTGAATAGGCGCAGCACTAACTGGACTCTGTGAGTTAAAAAAAAAAAAAAAAGAACACTTTAATACTTTTCATTTAAAAGATATAGTAACCGCATATTTTGTTATTGGGAACACAAGGCAGGCTAGACAAAATAAAAGTAACCTGCATTATCAGAACAGCAAACAAAAACTTTCAACGTTATTGCCTCCAATCCTTCCAAATTATTTAGGAAAGAGCTAATAAATTTTAAGTTACTGGGGATTCAAGTATCTCACACTTCACAGTATGTTCATAAAATACACTTTGATAGACAGTACCATTTCTTTTTCCCTTAAAAATACCTTTCTAGGGTTGAAAGGTTAGATAATATGCTTTCCAAATGAGTCAAGTGGGTGACAGGGGATGTATGCCATGCCTTAAATCAGAAGGTTTTTTTTTTTTTTTTTTTTTTTTTTTTTTTTTTTTTTTTTTTTTTTTAAGAACTGGGGAAATAAAACTGATTCACAGTTCAGTGCTCTCCACTTTATTGTACTATTAAAGTTACAGTGCATTATTTTTTAAAGTGCAACTGAAACTGGAGCTTTCTCAGCCATCCATTCTTTTCATGATCTGCACCTTTCCTCAAAGGCTAACATTTTAATATTCGGCGCATCTTGGCTGGTCCTGCACAAGCTATGGTAGTAATATTTTCTCTGTGACATAGTTTAATCCATCACAAAGTTTACCTGTATTTCAGGTTTATAAACTAATGAAGCCAAAGATGGTCTAACATGAGCTACTGAACAATTACCATTACCCACATTTTATTTTTTTGCCACCTGGAAAAATAACCAAATTATTCTATTTTGTCTAATGCCAACCTCTGGAAGAAGTAAGGATTGCAGCAACGTGGAGCTGCTGTGATGGATAGAGTTATAGTAGTGAAAAACAATTTCATATTCATGACATCACCAGGCAGCTTTAGTCTCAGCTCATACTAATTGCGTAAATGGCTGCACAGGTTTTGCTGATGGACTTCTTGGCTTGAGCAACCTGAGCTTCCTCAAGCATGCAGCGGGAACAGAAAGCGAGCACAATTAGTTGCAATTGCCCAACCTCATCACCAGTCACCTGCATTCAGTAGACGGCAGTTCGCCAAAAGCTATTTGTCCACGTACTGCTTTCAGAACCTGCATCTCCGCCCCCAAACCGTAGGCAAACTCCAGGCGCCTCCCCCCCGTTTCAATTTCAATTATGCCAAAATTCACTGATAAGGCAGGTGACAGAAATCCTCCACAAGCGGCTGAACAGGCTCAATTATTTCGGTCTGTCCACAGGCTCCCCTGACTCTCCCTACATCCTACCATGGCTGCGGCAAGGAGGGAGGAGAGGGCAAAAAAGCCAAACCCGGCTGCAGGAGCATACCCTTCCGCGCCACCTCGCCTTTATTCCACACGCGGACCAAAAGGTCAACCCTCTGGCGTGTCCCCGGCTCCCCCTAGACCCCGGTAGCACCTTGAGCGACGGAAAGGATACTCTCCATGTTCGACATGATCTCACGGGTTCGCCGGGCGGGAGGAGGGGCGAGAGTCCGGTAACACGCAGGACCGGGGCAGAGGGACCCACAAGTGGTGGGTTGCTAGAGCGCGCGAAAGGTAGCCCTTGTGCCTGGTTTCGAGGGTTCCGAGCCCACTTCCTGTTTCGGTTTGGAACCCGCGGGCCTGGGACGACGCCAAAATGGCTGCAGTGAGTAGCTTCGGTTAGAAAAGGCTGCGGTCGCACGGGGGCGGTGGAGGTCTGAGAGTTTAAGCTTAGATCCCTCCCCCTTAGATGCTTCACGTGCGCTCTTGATAACTGCGTTTAACCTGGTCAGGCATCCAACCAGTCTTCTAGTTCTTTCTTTTGCCAACCGGGACTCTGCTTAATCTTCTTCCCCACCTCGTCCCTCTGCTTTCAAACTGTCTTTGGCATTCCCCCATCCCTTTTTCTCAGAGCTTAAGTCTTAAAGGATGAAGACAAAGGTATAGGACTTTTAAAGTACTTTTTAAAAATTCTAACAGTGTAAAAAAATGGCTTGAGGGGTTAGTGTGGTTGATAATGTTGAGGTTTTAAAGTTTTGAGAGCCTTAGAGTTTTAGCCTGGAAGGGGAGAAGGGAAAAGTTAGGCTCTGCTAACGAGGCAATATTGCTACGAAATACCTTCTCATACTAGTCGGGTTATTTTATTTTTCTAAAGCATATCTGATATATGATACAAAATTAATATTAAATCTTTATAATGAGTGGAAGTGGGTTATTATAAACAGCAGATAGTGCTTGGCGTTTCTACATTCAGCTTAACGAAAATGTCCAGAGGTGAATTTATTAGACACTCTCTCTGGACTTAGTAAAAGAGAATGTTAAGCATAATTTTGGCGTTTCAATTCAGTACCATAAAACTACATGTAGTCACATATTGTTCTGAAGGATGCTATAATTATAACTGATGAATTTCAGAAGTTTGGCGTTTACCTCGTCTTTAAATTCACCCTGTGTGTGTGCAATGTCATAAACTTTTTGTCCTTAGGATTATTACTTTTTCAACAGAACTGGCTCTAAAACTGAATATTTTCTTATTTTGTGTTAATGATAGTTGGTCATAAGCTTCAGACTGTTTTCTAACTATAAACTGCCGGTGCTTCTTTGAAAAAAAAAAAAAAAAAGAACACTTTTACAATACAAGGTTCTGTGAAAATGCAATCTAGAAATCATTCCATTAGGCAGAACCATGTAATAATTATTTTTAGTTTTGCATCTCATTTTATATTTGAAGAATAGTACTTACAAAAATTAAAACTGGAAATTTCGTTCGTTCTTTGTGTGAGTTAAAAAGTTGTATTTCATTGCTGGAAAACTAAGTTTAGGGGATAAAGGTAAAGATAGACGCTTTGAAAAACTTTCCTTTAGCACTTATTATTTTTAACATCATTTTGTCAATAAAACTGTAAGTACCATAACACTCTACCAAAACTTAAACATTTGGAAGTTTAAAAGGTTATTGGTAGTTATATGTATGTAATGTGTAAAACTAAACCTTAAATTTAAAAAAATCAAATTATAGAATTTCTCAGGAAGCAACTTCTTTGGATAAGTTCACGTATAATATAAGATATTTGTTTAGAGAGAGTATTTGCTTTTGCTGTCTGTTTTAATTTAAAAAATATTGTTATAGCCTATGCTAAATACATAGAAACTTAATAGGTATTTAGTTTTTATAACTTCTTTTCTGTTTTGAATCCCCAAAGTTACCCTTGTATGTTCATGAATTTCTGATTTTAAGGTTAGTTTTAGAAAAAAAAAATTTAACTTAGCCACTGAAATTAACCTGCTTAACATTTATGTGTATTTACTCACAATACCTGCTGGTGAAAGAAATGGCTGTTAAGATCATAAAGCAAGTTAGAAAAAAAATAGAAAATAGACTGTAGAATAAATTGTTTTATTGTTTGATACGTATTAAATAGTATTTGTAAAATACATAAAATATATGCACCATAATTTTTTGTCTATGACATTTAAAATAATTCATTTGTGACATGTCACCCAGTTTAAGGAAGAAAACTTACTGTTTTCTATAAATTCACCTGCATATACTTAATACACTTTTCTAACTTCAGTCCTCTTTTCAGAAGCAGCCTCTTGTTTTAAGTTCATGTATAATTTCCCTGTTTTTTTAAAACTAGTTTGCTATAGTGTTTGATTTCCAATCATTATATAACTTAGGGTAGCCTGCTTTTGGACTTTCTTACATAAATTAAATCACACTGCTTTGTGTTCCTATCTTGTCATCATAAAGTTCCTCAATTGTGTTATAATATGTAGTGGTGCTGTATTTATTTTGCCGCTCTGAAGTAGTATACTGCATGAATTTACCCTAATTTATCTGTTTTCCTAATGATGGCTTATTGGGTTGTTTTTAGGTTGATATGACCTTACATGTGTGTTCATTTAACTTTTATTTTGATGAAAGATAGCTTTTAAAATGCCAAGTGGTATCTATAAAAACTTTGCTTCTCTTAGTAAGCTTAGGCAAATTTATTTTCTCAGTTTTCTTATATTCATATGTCCTTTTCTTTTTAATAATCTTATTCTTTTGCTTATGTGACTGCCTTTCTATTGGGTGTAACAAAACACTGTCTCATCAAGTAAGGTGCTTCCTTTTAATATGGTTACCCATAGCTTCTTTGGGGTCCAAGCTAACTATGAAGATGTAAATATAACAACATAAGTCACATGTGGATAAGTAAATATGGTTAATTTCATCTCTTGTACTTGGAAGGATGCACTGTAATTTCTATGACTTTTTGCTGGAATAATGGAGATATAAAGTATGAGTGAATATTGTGTCTTAATTTGACTCAGTAGCTATTACATTTTTTAAACCATGGCCTAAATGAAGCTAATATGAATAATTATAATAGTTCCTGAAGAAATTGAGTTGTTTTCATGATTAATCATGGTTAGTTCTATAATTGAGTCAGTTACATGAATAAACATTTTAAATGAAAATATTTAAAAAAATAGTTTTAGGATCCTAAACAATAAAATTTTAATATTTAATTTGACTGCTTTGTGACAATGTTTTTGTGACTTTTTAGCAAATGACGCTGAAGTACCTAGAAACTTTAATGGCTCATTGAAGTTAAGCCCCACTGAATGAAAAAAAAGGTGGGGAGGGTGGGAATGCACAAGGAATGAACATAGTGTAGCTTTATATAATATTTCTCAAATTTTTCTGTTCTTATTATAATTTCAGGTAGATAACCCTAACTTTTTTAAAGTATGATAGAATAAATTTGGAGATAGCCCCCAAAAGTCTGTATTTTGCCTCTGCTTACAAAGCAGAAACGAATATTCAAGTATATAATCATGAATTCTTTACTGAATGTAATGGCTTAGTTTAGATGGAATTTAACAGTTTATAAAGTGTCTCATAATTATTTCATTTGATAGTTCATATTTTGTGGTAACCTGGCCAGGTATTATCAACATCTTTACCAATTAGAAAATAATTGCAACAACAACAACAACAAAAGCTTTAAAAAGATGTTTTGCTTGAGATAGTTTTAAATAGATAGGCTTATTTATACCCATTTTCCTAAGATTCTAATGCAATTCTTTTAACTATGTACAGCAGGTAGACTGTATAGGAGTGCACGAGTTATCAAAAGTGAGACCGCTTCTGTTCCTTGCTTTTTCTACATTAGCTACCCATTTACTCTAAGAGAAACAAATTATTTCCCTGTTGTGCAGTCTCTCAAGTTTGTCTATAAGAGAAATAAGTTCAGTATAAGAAATGCTACAGAAGCTTTCCTGTTCATAATAGAAAAACATTTTGTTCTGCCATTTCAGATTTCATTTGCAAATTGTACTAGCAAAAAACTATTCAAGTAACTGATGAAAGAGATTAGAGCCACTGAACAGATAAAGCTCTATGTCCTAAGGCAAATAGAGGGCCAAATAAAAAATAGGTTAAACAGAAGCAATACGGTCAGGTGTGGTATCATAGGCCTAGAAATCTAGCAAGTTCTAGTCCAGCCAGGAACAAGATGATTTTGTTAAAAGTAGTTTCCTTTCTCTACGACCTTTTCCAGCATGAGTCACCCCTGGAGTTTTTTTTTTTTTTATGTATTACTATTTATTTAAAGCAAACATACTTTTACTTATATTTTATCACACTGATATTTTTAACAAAATAACGTATAATAAAGTAAAACAAAACCTGTCACATCAAAGATGGACAAGGGTATACACCAGAAGGAAAAAACCCAAGAGAATTCACAAGAATGAGATGCCAACTCATTAAAACCCACATGTATCCTATACAAATACTAACCTGAAAGCTATACTCTCTATATAAAGTACCTGGTTCAGACCGTGTAGGCCCTTTGACTTCTGCTTCAGCCTCTGTGATTTCTTCTTTTTTGTATGTGGGGGGGGGTTAAATTTTTATTTTTTATATTAATTACAGTTTATTCACTTTGTATCCTGGCTGTAGCCCCCTCCCCCATTCCCTACCAATCCTACCCTCCCTCCCTCATCTCCTCCAATGCCTCTTTCTAAATCCACTGACATGGGAGGTTCTCCTCCCTTTCTATCTGACCCTAGCTTATCTAGTCTCATCCAAACTGGCTGCATTGTCCTCTGTGGCTGGCAAGGCTGTTCCTCCCTCAGGGGGAGGTGATCAAAGAGCCAGCCACTGAGTTCATGTCAGAGACAGACCCTGTTCCCCAGCCATTCTGATGGGTGTGAGGTAGAATCTCAGGGTCATTTGGATTTGCATTTCCCAAATGACTAAGGACACTTAGCATTTCTTTAAGTGTTTCTCTGCCATTAGCTATTCCTCTATTGAGGATTCTCTGTTTAGCTCTGTACCCCATTTTTTAATTGGATTACTTGATTTGTTGGTGTTTAAGTTCCTAAGTTCTTTACACACTCTGAATATTAGCCCTCTATCAGAGGTAGGGTTGGTGAAGATCCTTTTCCAATCTATAGGCTGTCGTTTTGTTCTGACAAGAGTGTCCTTTGCTTTACAGAAGCTTTTCAGTTTCATGAGGTCCCACTTACTGATTGTTGATTTTAGAGCCTGTGCTGTTGGTGTTCTGTTCAGGAAGTTGTCTCCTATGCCAGTAAGTACCAAGCTCTTCCCCAATTTTTGTTCTAACAGGTTTATTGTGTCTGGTTTTAAGTTAAGGTCTTTGATCCACTTGGA